TATTTTATAATAAATTTTATTTAATTTTAATTTCAAAAATATAAATTCCTTAAATATATTTTTATCTAAAATATTTTTTAATTACTAATTAAAATTAACTTCTAAATAAGTTTCATTTTGTAAAGCATTATTGTTTTCATAGGTTCTGTCCGTGTTAACAAACAGCGTGAAACGGAATGAATACAAACTTAGAAATTGTAAGAAGAGAAAGTATTCGCATGGCTGAACTAATATGAAAGGAAATCTGATATCTGTCTTCCAAGAAAAGAATCATTGTGTTTTTATACCCATTTTTTTATCTCACAGAAAAAATAAGTAAAGGAAAAATGTCCCTCAACAATTATAAAACATATTTATGATATTTCTCATTTGTTCTTAAGGATAGTTTTAGTTTTATTAAAAGAATTAAAAGAAGATTTGGAAGGATCGAATTGCAACATACGAACAATTAACTAGTAAGCATTAATTGATAAAAAAAAATATGTCTATTTTTACAATAGCCTATCGCTGTGGAAATCGCCCATGAAAAATTCTTGGGGTTTTTCCCAAGAATTTTTCATGATATGTCGACACCTGTCCTCGCCAACGGACTGCCCCATTTAGGGCCTGATTGAACCCATAATACACTTGCTAAAAAGGGGCCTTCTTAGTGCCTACAGGGTGGAAAAGTTCTAAAACAAATGCACATGATGTGACAATTTAATTCCCGGAATGCACCTTTAAAAAATATACATGCGGAACTGTACACTAGTGGTTACTGTCACCTTCAAAGTACTCTCTTTGTGCATCTATCTACACACTGACTTAAACGGCGTTCCCATTTTTGGAAGCAGGCTTGTTGAGCAGCTGTCTTACATTCTGTTGGATATCAGTTATATTAGAAAGTCTTCGTCCTTTCAGCGCAGATTTTGGAAATAGACAGCAAACACAAGGAGCTAAGTCGGGTCTAATTGGGTAGTCGCTTTTTTGGCCAGAAAATCTCACAGTGAGTGCACTGTGACTTGGCGCATTGTCAGGATGAATGATCCACTTGTCAAAGCAAGTGGATCATTCATCCTGACAATGTTCGGGTCTTTTTCTTCCAACAGAATTTCGTAATCTCTGCAGTACTTCTGCACTACTTGACTATGTGTCCCTATTCGATAAATTCTTTGGTGGACTATTCTCTTGTGATCGAGGAAACACACTACCATGGTCTTAAACTGTGAGCACGACATGCATGCCTTTTTAGGGCGCGGTGAATTTGGGGCATGCTCTGATGTTTTGTTTCTGTATAGTACTGTAACGTTTCAATAGAGCATTCAATAACAATTTTCACACAAAATTTAATATTAATACGTTACTCTAAATTTCGGATACCCATTTTTATGCCAAAGAGTACACGTGTACTCTTTGGCATAAATAACTATTACTTTCCCAATAGCTAAATAACAACTAGTTCTACACACGTATTAGTTCATACATGAGTGTTCGAACACGAATGCGCATGTCATTTCGTTGTGTTCGTCGAAATTATGTGACGAGCGACACTATGCGGACATATCAGAAATTAAATTGTCACACCTTGTACTGTTACCTTGCTTTGACGAATCTCATGCATTTCAAAACGAATATTTGATTATTTTGTGGGATCATTTCTAACAGATTTTCTTTCTGAGATATTTTCAACCAATCTGGAAAGTTAATACAGTACAGTAATTATATGTGAATATGTATTAGAGTTTATATCAGAGGTGGTCAGCATCTACTAGGACCAGAGAGTCCAGAATGAATCCGTAGATTTAAAACCCTGTAGAATTTCTTGAATTAACGTTGAATCAGGTATAAGGTTTGCCCTGGGTGCCAAAAACTGTTCGGTACGGCCCTGCAGCGAACATTAAGTAAACCATTTTAACACATTTAACACATTTTAAGTAAACCATTATTATTGATATTGATTTGGTGGCATAAAAAATAGGTAAATTTCTCTAAAAGATTTATTTTTGAAAAATCTAACAACGAAATTGGTGATTTTTTATTAAAATAGGTATCAAACTTTTTCACTCAAATGAAACATATTTTTCAGATAGACTTATATTAAGTTCTGGTTCCTCTCAATTTTAGAGGAGAAGGTGGTATTATGGAACACTGCGGGTATTATGGAACACTGCGGGTATTATGGAACCACCCCATTTCGAACTGATAATAAAGGCGAACTGTAGCGGAATGTGGCTGAACTGAACTAGGCAGACATCCATAGCAGGGGAAAAACCCGTTTTACTTCGGTTAAATGGTTGTCCGCATTTAATCAGCAAATTTGTTTTTTTGACTTAGGCGTACATATTAATCTGTGTGATGTTCACGTTTTTTAAAATTTGGTCTTGACAGACATAAGTTAATTCGAGATGGCGATGCGTGAAATATGGACCCCATTGGTGCTTTTACAGTAATATGGAACTCAACTCTTCCGAACTTTCTATTTGCAAGCAGACATTCCTCCATAGCAATTTGTGAAAAAGACACTAGGTAGAAAGCCAATTCTTCCTGAGAATATCGAAAAAGAGCTGCTGGAATATATATTGTTGATGGAGGTCATATTTTTCTATTATAAAAGCATTTTTGCGATAAAATACATTGGAGTAAATAATTTTGTAATTATTTAACATTTTTTGTCCTTTCCTATTTTTTTTTTTTTTTGGTTACATTAAAGCACTTTTTTGAAAATATACAGTAAGGTTCCATATTACCACCCGATTTTCTCTAAGCCTACTTTCGGACTTTTTGTACAAAAGCCTTCAAAAACCATACTTATAATTACACTAGCGAAAAATCCAATTAGGAACATTTAGTTTACTAGTTACTAGTACTTTTCGCACAAAAAATGTGGGTGTAGTTACGATACCTTGTTTACAATTCACTAAAATGTAATTGGGGTTCCATAATACCACCTTCTCCTCTATTATTAAACTCTCAATTATGTCCCAATTTTGCTTTATAATTAGCATTGCTTTTCATGGCTTCAATATTTAATTTCGACTTCTCTTTTGACCACAGGGAATTCAGGAATGAAAATATTCTCTTTATATTAGTTTAGTTCCCGATAAATAAAGGGCTAAATTTGTTGAAAGTATTCTTTAAACTATATTCCATGCCATTTCTTCCACAGTAGTGTCCCGTCAAAATGGTACGTGTAGTCAGCCTATTGTTGATATAACTAAACAGAGGTCCCATAAAGTCTCGACCGATTATCTTCAAATCTCCATTTTTTGTTGCAGGTGTAAAATATAACTTTGCAATAAAGAACAGTCATGGTTAATGCTCGATTAAGAAGTTAAAGAAACGAACAACACAGTGAAGAGTTTATGCAAAAATTTCCAAAAATTGATCCCAAAAGAACGAATATTCGACTTCTTGTCAACAAATTTCAACACATTGAAAATGTTATGACGAAGAACGTTCGGGCGAGCCATGTATATCTCTAGACATTCTGCAAAACGTCCAGAAAGTATTTGGACGAAGTCCTCATATATCAACTCGGTGCCTGTGAGAACTTGGTGATGACCTGTCCATCTGAATAGAAAGACTTGGTTTAGGCAATCAGAAACAATGTTTGTAAAATGGAGAACCGACCCAGTCTGCTAAAACTCAACAGTGCCCAAAATTCCATCATCCATTAATTGAGACTCCAAAAATTGTGGACGCCGCCATATCACTAACCAATTACTTCGATCACTAACCACGGCTATTCTTTCTAGTAAAGTTAATATTTTCAGTACCTGCAACAACAAAAAATAAATAAATTTACCATTTTCATGGTAAATTTATTTATTTACCATGACATACATTTATTTATTTACATGAAACCGTAAATAAATTTACGGTTTCATGAAAACAGATCGAAACTTCATATAAACCCTGTATATTATGAATTAGTAAATTTATAAACTTACAAGGGTCGTTCAAGGTTAAACGAGACTTTTGGGCCTATAATTTCGAAAAGTAACTGTCGCACGATAAAACCCAAAGAGGGAACAGTATTATCTATCCCAAGATTTCGGTAGCAAGCATGACGTATTTTGCGCATGCGTAGCAGTTTTATCGATCATGGCGGAAGGTAATGTGTCCACAATGATGGAACAGTGGTGCGTAATCAAATTTCTCGTGAAGGAAAAGGTTAAACCTGTTGAAATTTTGAGAAGATTAAGTGCACAGAATAGGGAACAAACGCTACCGCGGGCAAGAGTGCACAAATGGTGTCAACAATTTGGCAAAGGATGATAGCTGGTGACAAATGAAGCACATGAACACGTTCGTCCAACTGCAGTAACGTCAGTCAATATCGCAAGTTATCCTAGAGAACCGACGAGTAACCGTGAGACACATTGCAAACAAAGTGTCCATCAGTGTCAATAGTATTGAGAAAATTATCCATGAGCACTTACTGTTCC